TTTGTGAAGCTCTTTAAGATGAACCATAAAAAGGAATGATGTTCCGGAAAGTCAAACAGTAACTATTAATTTTCACAGTTCAGTATCGATACGCAGGCAGGCACAGATAATACAAACTACATTTGTAGAATCAAGGATCTCAAAGAATTTATATTACAATAGATTCGGGAAAAATTTATACAATGAAAATTCACCTCGGTTAGCAACCATTAATTTTTTGATTTTTTTCCCAGAAGCGGACTGAATTCCACCAACATCCGCAGTTGAAAAGTACCGTAGCGAAGGAAAGCTTCTCGATGTTCTAAGAAGCTGAGAAAAGCGCCTGGAGGCCAGAAGAATAGTTGACGACATTTTCAAAAATAATAAATCCTTCTACAGAATCTGAGGAGAAAATTGATTCCGCTGGGTTTTTCAAATTATCTCAAAACCCACCGATGAACTCTCTGTCCTTCAGTGATTGACAATGCCGTATTTAAACAACCCGATGTTCTGTAAAAAAGCTGTAATCCGTCGAAGTTGCACTCACTCAAGATTGCTATATGCACTAAGGCGTATAAGACTGATGACTACAGAACTGAAAACTTTATTGGATGTTCAGTATCGTCCTCCAGATTTAGTTTAAACCTATTGATTTCTTTGTGATCGATTCTCAGACTTTCGAGACGGTTCGAGAGATTTTGAGTTTTTTCACCAGTATGTTGCTAGAGACTGATATTTTAGACTCACAACCAACCTTAGATTTCATTCCTTTACTGGTTTTCCTAGTTGTTATAGTGTAAGGATTAGTAGCAACGTTATTTTTCAACATGTTACCTAATAGATTTTGAGCCGAAAAACGAGATAATTTGAAGATGGGAACAGGCAATATATAAGTGAAGTGAAGCTAATGATAATAACAAAGTTGAATGCTGAAGACACCATCCTTTCATCCCAAAGACCATCGGTAAATTTTTCTCGCCGATTCGCATCAATCATGACAAGCCGTGGTCGGTACATCAAGTAACCACGTCCGATGGTCGTGACATATAGGGACCGGGATGACCTGACTAAGGCACTCCAAGCTTGGAACAATTCGAAGAACGATCTGTCTATCCACATCAGGTGTTGCGAAAGCCGACCTAGATCTCTGAGACAACAACAGGGAGGACAAAAGGAACGCACAAAACTGAGAGATGACCTCAGTCAGCAAACCCTGGCACAAGACATGACTGAACTCACTGCACAGGCACGAAACCGGCAGGGGTCAGTTTCTACAGAACTTGCCAGCTCGGTTTGAACAAGTTTGAAAATCCGACAACGGCTGTTGCTGCAGAAGTGCATCAGGTTCTGAGACAAACCACCAAGTGCCTCTATTGCAACGTAATAGGACCAAGGGCTAAGCTGTTAAAAATCAGGAATACGTACTCTCAGATGGATCTGAAGATCATAATCCTAACTAAAACATGTCTATCCCCTGACATTTCAGACGACGAAGTGAGCTTGCCAGGCATGAAACTCTTTCAAGGAGATAGGGAACACCAAACTGGAGGAGGAATGGCAATATATTTTAACAGCCGAATGTCTATACGACACCCAACTAACTGAGGTGACTGAATCATAATGGTGTTGTTTCCACAAAAATGGCATGAAATACTTGATTGGATGGATGTACCGACCTCCTTCGGGTACTAATTCCCAGTAAAGCAAACTGACTCAGGTAATACTGCAAATGCCACTCCTGGGGTTTGATGAAATACTCTTAGCTGGAGATTTCAATACCCCATCTCTAAATCTCAGCGATCAGAGTACAACTCCCACTGGTTGATTTCAAAGACGACTTGGCACAGACATTAGAAGCTCTGAGCTGACTAAGCATGTATACATCGCCACTAGATGGACTAAAGAAGGAAAGTCCTCAAACCTGAATTATCTCTTAACAAATGACCAGCTCATGGTTGAGAATGTTCACGTGCATACACCAATAGGTAGTAGTGACCATGGCACTGTCTTGTTTAACATGGTCATAAACGAAACGCTCACACGGGACGATAGGGAACCCTGTCGTTGCTAAAATAGTGTAAATTATACCCGTATGAGAGAGGTCCTCCTACATGCCCAATGGCCACGGGAGTGGTGGAGGCTGACAGTAGATGATCACTGGCAAACAGTGAGAGATATCATCCAAAGCGATGTTGTTGACAATGTACCTCAGTCACACCACATGCGCGGGAACCGGAGAACCTGGGTTAGGCGCGGCAATGAACGCTTTCAATGAACTCTTTCTACAGGCGAAGAGGAGAACCTGGTACAAGTGGAAAGTCACTTCGAAGGATTCCGATCGGAGTTCTTACTTGGCGTTGAGAAACAGATGCAATACCAAAGTTCGAAGTGACAGGAGACAATTGCAGATGAAGCTAGCTGCCAAAATACAGGCAAACCCGAAGCATCTAGTTAGGTTCATGTCCGAAAGAAAACCTACTAATCAAGGGTTGTGTTCTGTAAAAGGATCGAGCGAAGAAGACCTCACCAACCTAGAGATGGCCGAGATCTTTAACACAAACTTTTCTGAGCAGTTAAACCAGGCATCCACATGTTCAGGGTACAAAGCAAACCCGTTTCCAGCTGACGGCTTAGGGATTATCCGAATCAGTCCCGACTTAATACTAAGGAAACTAACATACTTGCGCCCAGGTAAGTCACCAGGTTGTGACAATATTCGCCACATAGTCTTATAACAATGTACGGAAGCTCTCATTTCACCGATATGTGACTTGTTTAGACATTCACTGGACTCAAACCAACTCCCAGCTGAATCGAAACAAGCTACTCTTCTAGAATCTTTTTTGAATGTTTTGTTTTTCGGAAAAGCCCTCCATGTATATATATTTGTGTTATGATATGTCTGACTCTTTCTGTTGACATTTTGGTACTCTATTTTATTCCATTTTGAGATTTTATCATTGTATATTGTTATTATTTCTATATTTCGTACTTATATTGAAGTTTTTATGTTTGCTTCTGAACTGTACACAGGTTGTTTAAATTTGATATTTAATATGGCTACAGCCATATTTGGATTTGATACCGTGGCAGTTAGAACTAGTGTCACTTATTCTTTTGGATTCGGATACCCATGAGGGTAATTTGGACTTGGAAGGTGTATTAATAGTCAGGTAACTGTTTGTATTTCCATTTTATTATAAAAGTAGAATGCTTTCTCTTAGAATTATTGTGTTTTGATATTGGACTGGGGGATAGCGCGTTCAACCTACACCTAATGGAAACAAAGTGAACTGCTAGGGTAGAAAATTCATCTACTACTCTCTCTCCAATCTTCAAAGGAGGAGATAGAAAGGACCCAGCCTGTTACATACCAGTCGCATTACTACAAATGTTATCAAAGGTTATGGAAGGGCCAGTGGACGAGAAAATGAGGGAGTACGTGGATAAGAACAAAATACTTCATGAAGCTCAACACGAGTCTCCGAAAGGCAGGTCGTGTGCATCTAATCTTCTCATAGCATGGGACAGTTAGACATCCTGTGTGAACCGAAAAATACCAGCTCTCGTAATTTTTCTCGACTTTGCAAAAGACTTTGACACAATACCCCACGCTCAATTAATCGCGAAGGTTGTGGAAATGGGCTTCACTGACTCACTCGTATCTTGGCTCAGAAACTACCTTGAGAATAGAAAGTTTCGCACCAAGGTCAACAGAGGGCACGAGTGCCTCACATGACGCAAACGATCTGTAACCTCAATGAAAGTCCGCTTCTTAATGTCTCTTCATTGCGCGACCTCGGTTTAATAACCACAGAAAGCCTCCAAACTGGTCCGAACCATGTAAGGGACGCAGCCAAGCCAAATGCAACTCTTCACTTTATCCGTAGACAACTTGGTGCTATGACCCTGCAATTATTTTCGACACTATTTAAGACGTATGCGCGACCACACTTGGAGGTTCACAATGTCATCGCACCCCCTCTGCTTAAAAGAGACATAAATCTCTAGGATCGAGTGCAGAGACGAGCAACGAAACGGGTGATAGGGTTGGAAAATAAACCTTACGACGATAGATTACAGCTCTTAGGGTTATTCTCCCTGAGCTATAGTAGAATCAGACGTGATCTGTTTATGGCATACAGCATATTAAGCACGCCAAACCATCCCAACGTGAGCACCTCACCGATGCAGCACCACCACTCCCCTCGAGACAATCCTCGAAAGATTGCACATCAGATTCGTTCGCACTTTTTCTCATTTCGAGTCGTCGCAACTTGGAACGCTCTCCCAGCCGAGGTGACCACAGCTGCCTCAGTGGACAGCTTTAAGAAGAGACTTGATAATCACGTACTCACATACGGATTATCATCTCCCTTGTGGACAAGCTGTTCATGATGCATATTTTGAGACCTGCTAGTTGTTATCATTGCCATCTCCTCAGATCACTTAATCTGTCTCGCCTATTATCGCTGTTTCCTCTCCCTTGCTTACTATTCTGTGCTCTCTCACAATCTTCATTACCAATTAATAATCTAAATCATCTATATATTACTCAGTTCTGAAATTCTATTCATATTAGCATTAGAATTTTATCCTTATTATCCTTATTATTTTCCACATTGCAACTAACTGATCTCCGATCTGCTAATCTGATAGCTGCTGGTATCCAAAAACTGTACTGCCCTGAAACAAACGTTTTCATTCAAATCCCGAGACATACAACCAACTACCAACTGACTAGAATTTGACAGTCGAGTGACTTGATCTCCATCCATCTGACATTACAGAACACCTGGAACCGTACTGAAAGAACAAGAATCGAGCGCGAAGAAATCAACTTGGTTTACGCTAGCTCGTGAAAAAGATATTGGATATTGGACATTGGACATATCAGCTTAATCACAAACATTAGATTTTGTTTCAGTAACCATCTGAGCCTGGTATACGAGTTTCAAATATCTTTTCTATCATCGTGTACCCTTTGTTTGGCACCATCATTAATTCAGGAATCAACGTAGACAATTCACAGTTCGTTTTTTGACTAATATCCATTTGGTTATCAGTTTCTCCTTACTTGTGGTTTCTTTGTCCAAGTTATTTAATGAACATACGTTCGACGACTAGACATTGCTAAACAACACAGACTGTTGATACCTGGTGGTAATCGCTATGCAGCACTATGAATGCCAGAATGATATCAAGAAGTTTGCACCAATCTAATACTTGCTTTTGAACTGTTTTGTAAACATGGATGCGGGTGATTGCGCTGGCAGTGCCGATCGGATGAAGATAGCCTGATATAAAAATCCGTTAAATTGGTTAACGCTAGTAAATACAAATGTAGCCGGTAGATATGGTCCTCCGTTATACTACTACGTAATTTAAGGGTTCTTAAGTGGAATTCACATGTTAGTCTTTACTGACTCATCCTACCGTGACTGTCAACAGTATTCTTCGTAGTATTTTTGAAAGACACATTTAAATCAGAACTAGGATAATATAAACAACCTGAAAAAGAGATTACATTTAGTAACCAACCCTGCATGACTGACGTATGGCACCTTCAATATATGTTCTCATTCTCACCATTACCAACCCTCGTCATTCATTAAACACTAAATGTAGGTCTTCGCAGTTATTCTGTTTAGCTTTAAGAGCCGTGTGTTTGGGGAACCAATACTCCATATACATCAATGATGTGATGATAAAGTTTTGCTGTCTCGTCGACACTGGCGCAGAAGTTATGTTCCAGTCATAAATTAACTGGCAGCAGACGGAAAACAGATCTCGAGTTAAGGTAAAATGTAAGCTTATGTTTACGTCCGTTTACGCAAACCTATCCACTGGATTCCTGTTGTTACAGACATGTCAGTATTAGTCGTTGGCACAGACTTGTTACTACACCACAACTTACTCGTCTATTTAAGAGTAGGATAATAAATTATCTGTTTTCAGTCCCATTTTCTGGTTTTAGTTTATTACAGTGAATCCGTACTTCCAATAGACACTTGAAAAGTATCATGAACTGTACAAAACATGACCGCAATTGCCATGTATAACCAGCAGCAATGTTAGTGCGGAATTATTTCATGTACAAAAGTTTGCTGGTCATGTAAAAACTGTCCATAAACTGTAGTTGTATTAGTTTATTCATCATAAACCTTTACATAACCAAATGACATAAGCGTATTGGGTTAAAAGTAGTTCAGGATCGTCTACACACTTAAATCCTACACTTTAGGATGGAAGTCGAAGTCCCTCATAGTTTTACTAATGTACTGAAGTTCGAGAGTTTCACAAAGTTGCATTATGATAAGCTTTCTTCCTACTAGTTAATCTCAAAGTCATCGTTGAAATTTCATATGACCGATAGTATAGTAGTTCTACTTTTTAGCCTAATCCCTCATATAATAGATCATTTATTTATCTTTGATGTTTCCTGGTTAGTCAAAACAGTCGAAAACTGAAGGACATTCTGCTCTATTTTCTTGGTTCATCAATCCTTATTTGCAGAAACCTTTTCCTAATTCCACCCGTGTGATTAAATATTCGAAGTATATCTCCTGTAATGCCACTCTGCCTTCCCCCTTTATGGTTACCCTGTAGTTGTGCTATATTTTTCCAAATTATAAAACACCCACAATGAACTATTAAATGTGTGTTACAGTTAAGACTATATTATTGTCTGTCATTACTGAGTCACAGGTTCACTTCACGTGTTTTCATCTCCTCCAGGTTTATCTGCATATTCACTAACTACACAGCATTTCACTTGGTTAAACTCGATCCTACCTGTCTGCAGATATTTTACGATGTTTAATCGTCTAACAAGTTTATCAAGTCTGATAATTTTCTCTTTGGCTAACTTAGAGGTGAGTAGTTTTATATATGTATGGGATATGTGCAAAACTGTACTGTTCAGTAATTGGTTTGATAGTATCAGGTGTAAGGTCTTTAAAATCATCATGCACTTTATGAAAAGATTTGTCTTCATTAATGAATTCATCTGATAGTTCGCCGAGATTTCCATTATAAACAACACTAAACATCTACAGTATCTTTAGATTTTCACCTTCTCCTTTGGAAATCAAACAGAATATTTGTACCACTCTTTTGGAAGCATTTTAATTTTTTAATGACTTTGTATTATTAACTTATTGACTTAATTTCTGAGGAAAAGTAAATGTTATAAATGTATGTTTAGTCTAATGGTTAAATTTGTCATTTGCGTTATTATGAGAAAAGACAAGAAAATCTGAAAATAACTATTCTGGATGCATTCATACAAAAAAATATCTTTGTATATTGACTACGTGCCTTGCAGTTATCGCTTTCTCAGTTAATGTTTCTAACGAATGTAATGCAATGCTTCTAATGTTTAGTCAGGAGCCCTATATACTTACTTCAGTTTGGGTTATCGATTAGATTTTCCATAAATTTCTACTGTGGCGTATCAGCTATCGATCAAGATTTACACAGGGATCACCAATTTAATTTGATATCCAATACACTCACATATTTCATCCCTTTTACATGTTTGGTCATCAATTAACATAACTAGAATTAGTGTGATGTTAAACTAAAAGTAGCAACAATACACCGAAATAAGTGAGCGATTATTCCCTGTTTCCGAAAGATCTCATTGTGGTTATTCATGTCATAATGCTGGTTTAAGGCGTTAGTAGTCTGCAGACAATAATGAATTTACACACCTAAAAACTACTTCATCTGTCTTGTAACAAAATGAGTAGTAATGCGTATTTCACGGTTTCACCCATCAATCTTTAGCTAACCAGTTTTCCTTTTTAAGTCTTATTCAGATACTTATGTATATATAGAATAATTGTGGATACTATAGACCAAAAAGAGTATATTATAAAAATATTTTGTTATTTATTTGTTATTTTAATTTTAATAATACTTTGTAGGCCTGCAAAAGAAATCCACCAATTGGTAAAATATATGATTTCACGGTCACTGATATTGACGGTAATGAAGTTCAGTTAAATAAATATTCGTAAGTATTCTACTAATATCTAACTAATTATCTTGTCTTTAGGGATAAAGTCTGCATAATTGTGAATGTCGCCACTGAATGAGGCCTTGCAAACACAAATTATCCTCAGCTTCAGAGACTATATACCAAATATTCTGAAAGTGGCCTTCGAATTTTAGCTTTTCCTTGTAATCAGTTCAGAGGACAGGTAACTTAGGGCTCATTTAATTAATCTAACTTCAGGAACCCGGGACCGATCAAGAAATAAAACTGCGCGTGTTGGCCAAGTATAATGTGACATTTGATATGTTCCACAAAATTGACGTCAATGGCGAGAATGCTATTCCTTTGTACAAGTTCCTAAAACAGTCAATATCATCCTGGTTTTCCAGGTTAGCTCTCAAAATCTGTTTCAATTTTAATATCAGTACAAAAACGGTACTTTCTTTTATGGTTTCGGTTTCGTAATCAATTCCCTCATAAGCGATATAGCAATTAAACCTTATGGGATCTATCATCTCAAAAGGCCTTTGGCTTCTACTTTCGTCTCGCTCATAGATTGATGATAAAGTATGCAAGCGCTTTAACAATCTTTATCAAGGCTCGAAGATCTCACTTCGTTGCCATCTTTAAATCGTATTAAACTGGAAAAAAGCGTTAGGAAATCACCAGTTTATGCAACTGCAAACATGATCATCCAAAAGTTATCAGGTAGCTTCAAGTGATGCCTTGTACCCAAACACGTAAGATTATAGTCACCAAAAGTATACAAGTTGCCGGTGTTATTAGTCGACTTTAACCATTTTATTTCAAAACAAGGTTTTTTGGAGCTCAATAAAGTTCTTTATGTAACGAGATCACGTGCAGTTTTCAAGAGAACAGTGTTGGGTTTGTGTGGATTTGTAGCATGATGATTAGGCACACAACTTTCATCTATCAGTTTGAAAATTTGGGCTCCATTTTAATTCATGCATCCTTTAAACAAAAGTTTACTTCAAAGCTACCTACTCGATCTCGCAGTTGATTAGATTTTTTATACCCTTCTGTTATAGATATCGGGACATGCCCAAATTTGTTTCCGGGCTGTAATCCTGCTCTTTGTATCACAGTAGCACACAGAGTACTCATTCCTTTCCCGATCATTTGATCTTCAGTGTGTTCTTTTTACTGTGAAAGACTTAAAGAAATCTTTCCTTGTAAACAAGTAACATTTATACCTGTCTTCTGTTTAATAGCAGAAGTTATGTTTTCCTACTACAAAATTATTCCTTCACTTTCGTTTTCCTCATAACTATGACTCTGCTATACAAATCCTGAAATGTATATTTCCTCAAGCAGTTAACAGGGCATTTCACTGACATGAAACCTTAGAATTTTATTGTCACTATCAAGATGAAAGACTTATAGTTACAAAAAGAAATAGCCGACCGCGCATAGCCTACTAGAGAGATTTTTTAATCATGAATTCGAGTTGGTAACATTGGTTGGTAGTATGTGGCAATCAAGTCATTTAAAAAAAGTTTAGTTGTCGGGACAGAAAAAAATATTAGGAAGTGGTGAAGATATTTGATCGTGAAGGTGATCTTAATCTTTGATAGATAGATATATGAAGGTAATTGTCATTTCTTAGTTCCTCGCATTGTAGAATCTAGTTAATAGATGATTTTTGCTTTACAAAACACAATTCTAAAACTGAAAATTTGTGTATGATAACGGATTCGAATTTAAAATGTATCGAAATTATCATGTGCGAAGCATAGATCAGGTTGTGAAATTTCAGTCTGTTATTGTTTTAGGATTGTAAAACTGAATGAATCGAATGATAAGTGATGTTGAATGATGCGATACATCGATAGATTAAGTTTTTTTTTTCTAACTCAGCAAAATTTTCGGCTTTCACGCACACAGTAAATAGCTCTCGTAACTAAGTGTGTGGTTAGAAATCAATTGAAACATCAACAGTCAGAAGAAACGGATTTCGAAGGTAGTTTATGTATTAACATCAGTAGCAACGTAGAACTTCATACGTACGTACGTACGTATGAAGTTCAAGTTGCCGTACCACATTAGCACAGACAGATGCAATTGTCAATTCAAATCCTACAGTAGTAGTAGAGGTAGTAAAAGTATTAGCAGCAATCGGAATTTTAGGGTTCGAAGATATTATTCAAGAAATAGAATCTAGTGAAATAAACTTAAAAAGCAAGAGATAAAAGTGATGAGAACTTCAAAAAATTAGGATTTGACAGAACACAAAGAGTGGATGCACCTGCGCTATTGCAAACGATTTTTAACCATATCATTCAGGGTCTCTAACTATCGACTACTTTCATCTCGCGGACCCCAACCATTTATTCTACATTTACCAACATGACTCAGTCCACTCGTCAGTGTATTTTTGCCAGGTTATAGTTTGACCGCCACTAGCTTTTCTCCAAACTATTCCTTCACCGCAAAACATAGCTTGTCGAGGCAATCGCTGGTTAAGCATACGCAACACATGCCCCAACCACCTTAACTGATGAAGTTTCAACACTTCATTTATTGATCTGCCATCCTTACTCAATACCTGTTTCCTAACGATGGCATTGCTTACTCGGTTGTCCCATGATACACTAGCAATGCTTCGTGGACACCTATGATCGAAAACAAGCAACCCATGAATATCTTCTACTCTGACTAGTCATGTTTCGCATCCGTACAGTAGGACGAAGCGAAATGCTGCACAGTATACTCGTCCTTTGGTTAGCAAACGGACATTTCACGTACGCCATAAGTGACACATGTTGACAAAAGCTAATTGAGCCTTCTGTATGCGTTCTGAGATTTCGTCAGTCACTAGGCCATCAGCATCGATGAGACTCCAGAGATAAGTGAAGTGTTCAACACGCTCAACTGCTTCACTCCCTATTACTAATTCAAGTGTCAATGCAAATCAATTCTGAAGCAACATTTTGCATTTCAGAGAGTGAGAATCGCATCCGGAACATGCTTGCATTGTTTCTTAGGGTAGTCAGGAGACACTGCATTTTGTCATGTATAGATGGAATTGAATCTGATCGTCAAGCTTAATTTTTAACCTGTCATATCGATGAGATGTCATACTACTTAATTTTTTCATTGCGGCATCAAAAAGACAAGTTGATTGAAGATACTTTTCATTTTCGATTAGTGCTTTATTAGGGCTATAAACTAATGGGTATGCTGTAAAAAGGAGTGGATGATCGATACCAGTTAGATGTTGCTGTGTCAATTTAAGAATATAATAATCGCCATTATTAGCTGAGGTGGATATTGGCTAGCAGTAAAATTCAGAGTGCGTGTTTTTATCTGTTTGGCACTCGTCAGCTAGATGTATACCAGCATACCAATTCTAATTTACTTTTCATCTT